ATATAACGTATTAAAAGTATATATTTAGTCAACTTTGTATTCAGCAAAATATGTAAAAAATATTTTGAGAAAATATATTTTGATCAGTCATCTGAAACCCTTATTTAAAAAAGTTATATGTCTATTCAAAGCAGATTTTATCAAAGCATGTATTTTATAACTTAGATACTATTTAACATATAACTAAATTAACTCTATAACTGCACAGCTCTTATAAAGTAAGTTAGAGAATAATGATTAAAATATATTTACTTAAATCTTTTTTTTGTGTGACTTAGACACTTTTTGAAATAGACCCTTCATATGCTTTGTAACCAAGTAAAATATATATGGAAACATTTTTACAGTATTACATATATTGTTTTGTATTATATTTTTATATTAGTATTTTGCTGTTAAGTATTTATTGGGCAATTTAAAGATCAAAGATTATTTATACCTTAATAAATTATACCACGCAATTAGCTCTGTCTTTTAAACGGTTCAAAAGACGCCTTTTTTTGGTCCCATGCATATGAGGTAAAATTAAAACTAGAATCGGAACTTGAATTCCTAGTTTTGGGTTAATAATATATATGGAAATAAATGTATAGTTACTCAAAACATTTTTTTTTTAAATGGATTTAGTAATACATTAATTTTAATCAACTTTCATGTTTACATTAACCTTGTAAACATGAAAGTTGATTAAAAAGTTAATTTTTGTTATCAATTTGAATTTGGGTAGGCAAATTTGGTCAAAAAAATAAAAAATACCAAAATTTGCAATTTTTGCTCATAAAGTCCGACAGCCGGAGCCGAAGCCAGGTATTTCTTAAGAGAAGCCGTAAAAAAAAATTCTGCTTCACAAGCTCAGTTTAGGATTACTTGGCATAATGTTTGGGAAACAAGTTGGCAAATCGTTTCAACTAAATCTTATTCTGATTACACTTTAATTTGTAAAGTTTTCTATAAAATTTTAAAAATTAAAATAATTTTATACAGTAGACCTGCAGACCAGATTTATGTAGTCATGCAAAATTATAAAAGAAAAACAGACACAATTCTAGGAACAAAATGAGGAATTAATTGAAGGGTTGGGGGTGGGGATCCTTAAAAAGTACCGACCGGCTCCTTAAATAATAAAAAGGTTCTCAAAACTAAAATGTGTCGAATACTCAACTATGCCCCTCAAAAACCAAGTATAACTTGATATTCACCTTCTTTGGGGAATGTCATACCCACGTAAAATCGTCTCTGTATATATATATATATATATATATATATATATATATATATATATATATATATATATATATATATATATATATATATATATATATATATATATATATATATATATATATATATATATATATGTATATATATATTTATATATACACAGATATATATACATATATATACATAATATATATATATATATATACATAGATATATATATATATATATAAATATATATATATATACATACATATATATATATATATATATATATATATATATAATATATATATATATATATATATATATATATATATATATATATATATCTGTGTATCCCTTGGATATCTGCCGCCCGGGACAAACTGTCCCGGTGGCCCCCCTTTTCCCTATATTTGTGTATATGTATATATATATATACATATATATATATATATATTATATATATATATTATATATATATATATATACATATATATATATATATATATACATATATATATATATATATATATATATATATATATATATATATATATATATATATATATATATATATATATATATATATATATATATATATATATATATATATATATATATATATATATATATATATATATATATATATATATATATATATATATATATAATATATATATATATATATATATATAGTCTTGCATGTCTCTTGCGTAGCATCAAAAAATATTTCCCATAAACTGTAGTTTTAAAGAGCGCGTTAATAAACCAGACCAGAAAAAGTTTTAAAAATTAAATTTTTTTTTTTAATTGATAGACTGCCTGGCCAAACCAAACCCTCAGTCGATGTAGCAGCACTCTCTTGCGAGTCAGGCTATTTGTCAGTCGTTGTAGCAGCACTCCCTTGCGAGTCAGGCTATTTGTCAGTCGATGTAGCAGCATTCCCTTGCGAGTCAGGCTATTTGTCAGTCGATGTAGCAGCACTCCGTTGCGAGTCAGGCTATTTGTCAGTCGATGTAGCAGCACTCCGTTGCGAGTCAGGCTATAAGATAGTCGATGTAGCAACATTTACGCATGTTTAAAAAATGTTTTTTATTAAATCAATAGCAAAAACACCACTAATTAAAAAAAACTTTCTAGTCGTTATAATTGCGGTTTTTTAAAAATTTTTTAAAAAACAATTAAATTTAATGTACTTCCGCATAAATTAATTGCTTTGACATTTCGATGACAATCAAAAACAGCTTAAGAGACGAGGTAATTAAAATTGTAGTCGTAAGAGACTTTTTTTACATTAAAATGCTCTTAAAGCGACACTATATGAGTTATATATATATATATATATATATATATATATATATATATATATATATATATATATATATATATATATATATATATATATATATATATATACATAGCATTGTATATATATTTAAACAATTTTAAAAATGTATTCTACAACATAGAGTGCTCAATGTTCTTAAAAGAACAGAGCAATTATTAATTAGTAGAAAATCACTTAATAATTTTTTTTTTCATTTTACACTGTGTTTCATCAACAAAGACTCATCAGAAATGAATGATCAAATTAATAAACTTCAATTTATACCAAAAAATTAAATTACAGGAAGTTGCAAATGTTTTAACTACTGTAAATTTTCACACATTTGTGGAATTTGCTG